TTCGTTGGCACTGACCCTCACGTTACAAAATGCTCAGATGGTCATCAAAGTCTGGAGCTATAGCATACGCAATATGTATAGCCTTTTGATGATAATCAAATTTGCATTTCTGAAGGACTCTGTGTGATCACACTAAGTTGCTTATGAGAAGATGACTTTCCCACCTGTTCTACAACAGTCCGTAAACTCTGGGTAGGATCAAAACTCAACCATCTTCTTGGGCTTCAACTTTATATTATCATATTGCTTAGATGTCTGTTAAAGTCCAGTCCTAGCTTAGATCTGCTCTGTCTACCACTTAGATCCTCTCATCTCAGACTCAAGATACCTCTCTCAGGGCAGACTCATTCAGAAGCACTTCCTCCTCTTTTTTTTTTTTTTGTATTCACTCCAGTTGCTGGGCCCTCCTTGCTTACTTGAGATAGCTGGCAGGTAGTGGTATTCAAAGTTGAGTTGTTGGCTCCTGTGTGCTGAGGTGCCACCATGGAGTGAGACCCAGAGTCACCTACAGGTGACCTTTTTTTAGTGTTTGTTTAAAAAAAAAAAAAAAAAAAAAAAGCTTTTCAGTAGTGTTATTTAATGTATTTATTTCATTTTAGCTTGGCTAGCTTGGGGCATTGAGTTGCTCTTATTTTCAAGTCATCATTAAGACAACATTTTTAAACCATGAACCTGCAAAATAGAATTGCTCTCACTTTGCCTCCAAAACTCCACAGCTGTGTGCACAAACAGGTATTTGCATAGGTAAATTGAGTATTTGAGCTTGCAAACAGATAGGCACATTTCTATTGTGCATAAATATGAGTTCCTGCAAATGTAATGGATATGCATGCAACTGAAAATATAGGGGCTTTAGTGATAATAGAGCTCAAGATATCTGTGCTGCTGCATATTAATGTCATGTATATTAAATCTTATAGGCAGCAGATGGTACTGGAGCTTGCATCTGTCAAATAATTTAATGGAACCTTGTCAACAGGGAAAAAAGAGTTTATTGATGGCAGCAAAAGGCAAAGAAGCATCTTAACTATCAGAGTAGGGACCACTAGAGTGTATGTTAACATTGCTGTTACAAATTAAGGAGTGACAGTGTGGCCTAGTAGACAGAGCATTGGACTTGGGACTCAGAGGACCTGGACTCTGTTCCCGGTGCTGCTACTGGGTCTAGTGGGTGGGCTTGAGAAAGTCAATTCATCTTTGCATGCCTCAGTTTCCCCCATTTGTAAAATGATGATGATACTGACCTCCTTTTGTAAAGTGCTTTGAGATCTACTGATGAAAAGCACCATGTACTAGGTGGTGGTGGTATTATTTTTATTTATTTATTTATTTATTTATTTATTTGTCTTCAAAATAAGACTCTCTTGTCTTGCACAGATCTTCATTAAACTGATCTTCTAACAGAGGTTCTCCAATTGTGATTGGTGGAGCACCTGGCTGCTCTTGGTGAGAGCTTCTCCTTCATATATCCAGCAACTAAGTTATATTAAAAGAAAACTGAAAGTGCATAGTGCTTCCCAATATCGCTTGCTGGAGTTGCCATATAGGCGTTCTGCAATAGGAAAGGAGGTGTCTACAAGACACTCTGTGGACCATGTTTCAGTACACTAAGAAAAATTTGAGAGCTCCTGAGCTAGAAGTTGGCCCCAGTAGCACCTTTGCCCAAACCACATAGAATATCACAAAAAAACAAATATTTTCATGCATGCTTTTAAACTTCCTAACTTAAAGTCATGAACAAGCTTTCTTCGTACACGTCCATTCTTCACTGAGGACTGTAAAAGAAACCAAGCTTGATATTTCTGCCTAAGGTCCTGCCCCCAACCTTTCCTATTCATCAGCCATCTGCATTCAAGACAGGCTGTTTTTCCTTTTGCCTGCATGCTGCCTGGGTGCCAGCAGCAGGATAAATGAGAGCTCAGGAGAGAGAGTTTTCCTGCTCCCAGCTCCTGTACCCAGCACCAAGGTAATCCCTGGCAGCCAGGAGGACCAGTTGCAGGGGAAGTCCTGCTTAGCCCCGTAGCCTTGGGGTGGAGCTGTGACGTTGCAGTCTATATGGTTTTATAAAAATACATTATATTCACTTATCATAACTGGGATATGCTTCATGCAAAAGGTCTCTTGTAAGGTATCATTACAAAGCTTATAATCTACTGAGTGTGATCATCCTATTTGTATAAATATACCACTCTTGTATCTAAAACTAGAAATACAAAATATAACTCTGAGGGCCTATTGTAATTATGTAAAGTGTGGGCCATTAATGGTGGTTTGGAATCTTGATGACTCCCATTAACCAGGACCATTGTCTGCAGATGGCTGGGTTTTACCTGTGACTCTTCCTGTATATGTGTGTGCTGGCAAGCTGGTAATGAAGTCTTGCAGTGACATGTGATCAAGTCACCTGAACTGGAATCCATCTTTAACCTGGTGCTTTTCCAGTGAGGGGGGGTGGAAACCCAGAGGGACCAACGGTTCCCGCCTCATGCGAAAGATATATAAAGGAGTGGAACAGAACAGAGGGGAGAGAAGAGCCATCATGAAGAATCCCCTAGCTACCACCTAAGCTGGAACAAGAGCTGACTAGGGAAAGAATTGTGCCCAGGCCTGGAAGGTGTCCAGTCTGAGGAAAAAACTTACCGAAACATCTCTGAGGGTGAGATTATCTGTATTCAGTTTGATTAGACATAGATTTGCGCATTTTATTTTATTTTGCTTGGTGACTTACTTTGTTCTGTCTGTTACTACTTGGAACCACTTAAATCCTACTTTCTGTATTTAATAAAATCACTTTTACTTATTAATTAACTCAGAGTATGCATTAATACCTGGGGGAGCAAACAACTGTGCATATCTCTCTATCAGTGTTATAGAGGGTGAACAATTTATGAGTTTACCCTGCATAAGCTTTATACAGGGTAAAACGGATTTATTTGGATTTAGACCCCATTGGGAGTTGGGCATCTGAGTGCTAAAGACAAGCACACTTCTGTGTAAACCTGCAGCTTTGGGGCAAATAATTCAGACCCTGGGTCTGTGTTGGAGCAGACGGGAGTGTCTGGCTCAGCAAGACAGGATGCTGGAGTCCTGAGCAGGCAGGGAAAACAGGAATAGAAGTAGTCTTGGCACGTCGGGTGACAACTCCCAAGGGGGTTTCTGTGATCCAACCTGTCACAGGAGCATTCTTAGTCAGTTGGTGGAGGTAGTGCATGTACAGTCCAGTTGGCTCCATCTGTGAGGGGAGGGAGAATGTTCAGTTCTGAGGGACTCTTCAATGAATTTAGTGGCTGAACTCTTTTAAATCTATACTGAGCACGTGTGAACTGAGATTTTTCAGACGCTTATAACTTTGCCAAGTTTAAGCAAATTTTCATAGGGACAGCTCAAGGCACAGCCCTGGCACCATGACAAACTCCTTGCCAATTTGCAGGCCCCTGTTCCAAAGCATTAGTTTCTGAACAAAACAGCTGTGGGTTTTTTTAAATATATGCAAAACAATGTATTTTTTCCCCTAACCTTATTCTGAGAAATGGCTGAAGCATTCATCTGATGCTTCCCCAAAAATTGAGCCTAGGGCAGACACTTGACATGGAAAATTTCAGCCCAGATGGTTAGTTTGAAGTTATAACTGGAAAAAGAGAATAATCAAACATGTTAGGCAAACTTAACTATAGGCTTTGCTACCTGCGCTACCTATAATATGACAATTCTCTCTCAATATATATATCTCCTTTCATTAAGGAGAGGTCAGAGGAAAGTGGAAATACATAGTGCGGCATGTGAATTCATAAAGTCACTGTATGAGGCTATGATATCCTAGGTGTACCTATGTTATGAGGCTGTGTGTGTCAATCACTTCTTCATTACTTGCAGGCTACCTGTCAGAATGTGCAATGGCAACATTGTAGAAAAGGTCTAACAAGCTGATGCTTTCAGAATTAAAACACACACGCTGTTTTCCCTGTTCAAGGCCTGCTTAAAGCACTACTACTAGCTCTTCGATTCCCTCTGACAAACAAGTAATGAAAGACAAAAGCAAACAATTTAAGCACTCTGGGTCAAATTGTGGGTTACTGGGCTGAGCAACTTTGAAGTAGAGAGAGTAAACAAAGTCAAAACAGCAGAAATTGGAGGCTCACTTTTGCCATTCATTGACATACAGTCTAAAAAATATTGAGTGTCCAGCAGACAAGTGGTTGGCACCTAAAGGGAAGTTTCATGGTATATCTGGATCATACTGTTCAAAAACTGCAGGGTGAATATCATGGAGAAACACCATAAAGCGATACTGGTTCCTTCTGCATTAAGCTCTGCTGTGGTGTCTCCAAGGAAGACAGTAGTGTCAGACATGATCAGTACACCTGGGAAATGTATTCATCTCACACGTTCCCCGAAAATGTCTCTAGTTTGGCCAGAACAGCAGCCTGCGCTAGTATCAGCGAGCAGGGATGTAAAAGGTGACAGAAAGAGGGACAGGTTCTGGCAATGCAGCGTGGCTACAGCTTCCCCTTCTGGGGAGGTGAAAGGGCTCAGCGCTGTTCAAAACGCAGGTAGAATTAGCCAGTCAGCAGCTTGGAATCTCCTAATGGAGAAAAGGATGTAGCAGCTGCCAGTGAAATATCAGTGGAGTCCAGGAGCACAAACACCATCTCCCCTGCATGGGGTGATCTCACACACGCACGCACGCTAGGGCGCAATGATTGCTCTAGCTGTGTAGGTTATAGACCCCCATTTTGACTGGTGTAAAAGGGTGTGTTCAAAACCTCCCTGCACTAGCTTGGCTGAATTTGGCTCCTTGGTTTTTTGACTTCCCTTATAGTATTCTCAACTTTAATGTTGTATTCGTGTTAGCTTTTGTACTTAATCCAGCCATCTATCTCACACAAGCGAGCGGGTATTTGTATATGTAATTCTTACCAGAACACTTGCACTCTCTTCCTTTGTGACTTCAGAGGTTCTCTAAGCTGATTTGCTTCCCACTGTTTTTCTCCTTTCATTAGAACATCGTGGCAGTGGGAGCTGGGTTTTGTGATGGCCTTCGCTGTGGTGATAATACCAAAGCTGCTGTTATTCGACTTGGCCTAATGGAGATGATTGCATTTGCAAAAATCTTTTGCAAGGGACAGGTGTCTATTGCCACTTTCCTGGAGAGTTGTGGAGTCGCTGATCTGATCACAACGTGTTATGGTGGCCGCAATCGAAGGGTGGCTGAAGCATTTGTTAAAACTGGGAAGGTATTGTATCAAGGCCTGTCTTCCTCTCTGTGTGATGGCTAGCATTGCAGAAATCTATGTCATAGGAGCACTAGGTTCAGTGCTGACTTGTTAATATAATACTGTAGTTATACTAGTCACATTGTAATCCGTTAACATAGTCTTGTCTCTCCTTTTGTCCTTTAGTGTGTTACCATAGAGACAGTGTTGCAAAGCTAGAATGAATGAGGCAGTTCCAAAGAGAAGGAGAACTGGAGGTAGGGAGTAGGGGAAAGAGGAAGTTTACACACAAGCATGTAGGTAAATACTGTTATGAAAACCATAGGCTGCTTTTAGAGGAAGTGTTAGGATCCTGCAATGACACTAGCCAGCTTCTCCCATCAAGTCTTCACGCATCTTAACACTCATGTTGAGTGACTATTCATTTAAGTTTTTAGTTCTACCACCGTCAGCTGGGCAAACTTTGGGAGCTGTCTCCCCATGCTGAAGCAGTGGGGTCATGCAGCAGAGGAGAAGACCCTTATCAGGGTTTAATAACCTTATTCTTCATAATATTCTTCAAAATGGTTTCTTAGGTTGGTAAAAACCTTGTTATGATTAACCTATTTTTTAAATTATTATTTTTTTTTTTTTAAATACTGTTAAGTCCATTGAAGAACTGGAGCAAGAAATGCTAAATGGTCAGAAATTGCAGGGACCAGAGACTTCGGCAGAAGTATATCGTATCCTGAAGCAGAAAGGAATGGTGGATAAGTAAGTAAGAGGATATGGAGCATTTCTTTTGTTTTGTTTTCCCCTCCATTTTTTAATGCTTAGCTTTTTGATCATGATGACTGTTTCCTGAACATAAAAGCAAAAAGGTAAAAAGCTGACAAAGTGACTTAAACCCCAACAAAATGCATACATTTTAAAACAGCTAGATTAACGTGACTTTAATATATATACTAGACCTAATGGAGTGGGAGCCTATATTTAAACACTGAATGCTATGCAATTTAATCCTCCATTTACTCAGAGATATCTTGGTGATCCCTTCTGCCCTAGGCAGGAATAAGGTAATGTAGGAGAGAGGAGGTACCCTAGGTTTTAACTTGGAATTTCCTAATCATATGGTTTGGCACCCATGGAAATTCCCATGGAGATAGAAATTCTACTTCCTTACTGCACAGAGCTCAGGGATGCCCCTTGCCTCAGCTCTGCTGCCTTTTCCTACTAGCTCTTGTCTACCTCTGAATAGCATGACTCTTGCAGGAGCCTTGTTTCCATTTCCTTCCCCTGGATTGTCCTCCTTATACACACTCCAGGGTTGGGTTATGCAATGCGGACCAGAAAGCAGCATAACTTAATAGAGCCAAAAGCAGTTGTTGGTTGGGTTGGTTTTTTTGTTTGTTTGTTTGTTTGTTTGGGGGGGGGTTCCAGGGGGGAGTTGGAGTTCCCATGAATGGGCTTCCATGGAGTCAGAAGTGGTGGAAGACTATGCCACAGAGGCAGAATGTGGATGAGAGCATCGGGCCATGAGTGCAAGTGTCTGAGGGGATATGGCCTAGGAAGCATAGTGGCATGTTTGATTTGTCTTTGCCTAGTTTTGACTTTTTTACTTTTTTCCCAGAATAAGCTTGAGTTTCTCATAAGGGAAGTATTTAGTTTTTTGACAAATTTTGTAGCCATTCCTGATGACTTGCCTAGAATAATTGTCCTGGTGACTATTGTTCTATTAATTGCTGCTGGTTATAATTCAGAAATTAAGATTTGTGGCTACTAACAGAGTAAAAATAAAGACAAAATTGGTATCCTTTTGAAATTGGCAGGGCGGGGTGGGTGGGAGGGATACTTCTGAACTCAGGGCCTGATCCTGTGAGGTGCTCAGCATCTTTCATGGTCTTGCTAAGTGCCCTCACCTCCCACCAACTTCACTAGGAGTTGATGGTGTTCAGCACCTTTCAGGGTCGAGCCATGAGAGAAAAGCTGCATCGGTTTAACAATGCTTGGTCCAGGTTATAGTCTCTGGAATGTACTATAGGTATATCCTGTTGACCCTAATCAATCAACCATGCTATGTTTCTGCATCAGCTGTTTGGCCATTGATTTGTACAGCTTAATAGCGCTTATTCCAAATCACTTAGATGAAACTGCATACAAAAATTGTAAGATATGTCTAAAGGATGGCAGCTCAGTGCTTATACACCTTGACAAATCAAAAAGGAAAATACGGCATCTAGTATATTGGTTTTTGGTGTTTGCTAGCCGACAGAGGAACTGAAAACTTCTGAGGCAAAATTCCACCATTTAATCCATATTCACAACTACCCCAATAGCCTGCCTGCAAAACAGGTTGGTGTACTTCTGGAGCAATGTTAGGGACTCAGTTTCAGGTTCTTTTCAGTATGTGATGCATTAGTTCTCACTGGTGAGTTATTGGAATGCAATGAAGAGTGAACTCCCTGATGCAAAAGGGAAACATCTTATCTGCATAAGATTATAACTCTCACAGCGAAACTAATAAACAAGGGAATTGTTTGTCAAGCCTGATGTATCTTCTTCTTAGTTTCATACATAACTTAAACATATAAACCGGCATTTACTTAAGGTCTATGTTAACTCACAATATTGCAGAACTGTAAATAAACAATAAACTAAAATACAAAGCTGAGCTTCTTAATGAACCCTGTGGACAGAGAGACTGCCCAGTAGCTTTCTTGCTGGTAAAATTTGGTGCTTATCTCCAAGGAAAGGGAGCCTTGTTGTTACAATTCTGTTTAACTGACCAGTTGTATGTACTGGCTGCTGTCCTCTCATAGAAGGGTCAGAAGCATGGATGTTAGCTTCGATATTGTGGTTGTCTTTCCTTTGTGACACCTAGTTTGTGGTAAACTAGAATCATGTAACTTAGTATGTCCTGATACAAAACAAAGCAGGTTGTCCTGATGTCATTTAGTCAAGAGATTCTGCATGTGCCTGATTCCTAAAGCCATATGTAGTCTGTGTTTTTAGTAAAACTTGGAATGTGTTTTCTTCATCTATTCCTTTTTTGGATGAGGCAGACTCTCAAAAATGAACAGTTTCATCTGTTGATTGGCAGTCCCTTCTAAACATTATTTTTGGCAGTTTTTAAAGTACAATTTTTTTCATGCACCATCTGCTTTTCAACGTTTTAGTACTTGCTCTAAAAATAAGGCACATAAGTCCTATCTCTGCAACGTATGCACAATTAATCTGGTTGGGGGAAGAAAGCTGTTTAGAACAATTGCTTTCAATACTTACTATTTGTAATGCTCTCTTAGACATCTTCAAATAACTTTTTATTTTTTTATTTTTCTGCTTTTCCATTTGGCAAGCACAGAGCTGAACACAGCAGTTTTTTTGAGGCTATTGTTTACTTCTCTGCTTTTGTCCTTATCCTAAAGTGTAATTTTAAAAACTCATGCAAATTTTTGCTGGATGCATTCTTGGACACCCGGTGTGTAAAATAGTCAGTATTTTTGGATTGTGTCAGTTAGTGAAGTTATTTCCAGCTTGTTACTACACAGACCCCCTTGTCATTCCCACTATTGCACCTATTGGATGCTGAATGTGTAAACCAATGTGATAGCTTTCTTTGATAGGATATCGAGCCTTGTGGATAAGGATGAAGCTGTGGATGTGGTATACCTGGACTTTAGTAAGGCATTTGATACGGTCTCGCATGATATTCTTATCGATAAACTAGGCAAATACAATTTAGATGGGGCTACTATAAGGTGGGTGCATAACTGGCTGGATAACCGTACTCAGAGAGTTGTTATTAATGGTTCCCAATCCTGCTGGAAAGGCATAACGAGTGGGGTACTGCAGGGGTCTGTTTTGGGACCGGCTCTGTTCAATATCTTCATCAACGACTTAGATATTGGCATAGAAAGTATGCTTATTAAGTTTGCGGATGATACCAAACTGGGAGGGATTGCAACTGCTTTGGAGGACAGGGTCATAATTCAAAATGATCTGGACAAATTGGAGAAATGGTCTGAGTTAAACAGGATGAAGTTTAACAAAGACAAATGCAAAGTGCTCCACTTAGGAAGGAAAAATCAGTTTCACACATACAGAATGGGAAGAGACTGTCTAGGAAGGAGTACGGCAGAAAGGGATCTAGGGGTTATAGTGGACCACAAGCTAAATATGAGTCAACAGTGTGATGCTGTTGCAAAAAAAGCAAACATGATTCTGGGATGTATTAACAGGTGTGTTGTGAGCAAGACACGAGAAGTCATTCTTCCGCTCTACTCTGCTCTGGTTAGGCCTCAGCTGGAGTATTGTGTCCAGTTCTGGGCACCGCATTTCAAAAAAGATGTGGAGAAATTGGAAAGGGTCCAGAGAAGAGCAACAAGAATGATTAAAGGTCTTGAGAACATGACCTATGAAGGAAGGCTGAAAGAATTGGGTTTGTTTAGTTTGGAAAAGAGAAGACTGAGAGGGGACATGATAGCAGTTTTTAGGTATTTAAAAGGGTGTCATAAGGAGGAGGGAGAAAACTTGTTCACCTTAGCCTCTAAGGATAGAACAAGAAGCAATGGGTTTAAACTGCAGCAAGGGAGGTCTAGGTTGGACATTAGGAAAAAGTTCCTAACTGTCAGGGTGGTTAAACACTGGAATAAATTGCCTAGGGAGGTTGTGGAATCTCCATCTCTGGAGATATTTAAGAGTAGGTTAGATAAATGTCTATCAGGGATGGTCTAGACAGTATTTGGTCCTGCCATACGGGCAGGGGACTGGACTCGATGACCTCTCGAGGTCCCTTCCAGTCCTAGAATCTATGAATCTATGAATGATCCTTTTTTAAGGGCATTGGCTTTTTAATCTAGCCTTCAAACATTTGCTTAAAAACTGTGTAGTACACTCGGGTGCTTTTTTTTTTTTTTTTTTAATTATTTTAAAACATAGGGTTGAAAGGCTAGTAAGGGCACAATTTAGGCCCCAATCCTGCAAACTTCTATGCAGATGCATAGATCTTTGTCATATGGAGGCACATAGAAGTCAGTGATACTCAACAGAGTTGCACTTAGCAGGATCAGCGTGTATATTTACAGTGTAAGTTGGCTATAGAACTCTTTATCTGAAAGGTAGTTGCAGAACTAACCCCTTTAATGTTCCCAGATGCACATTTCACATGTAGTATACATGCTGTTCCTGCCTGTAGTATTGTCGTCACCATTAGCTTAAGCATTGTCATTTTTTCACTAAAGTGCTTCTGAATTGTGCTCACAGAAATATTCTCTGTGATGGAGAGCAATAAGTTGGTATTAAAATGTTGTTTGAAACAATGGTCCCATCTTAAATCAAGTAACTTCTCTGAACATCCTGATAACTAGCAATGCAATACCTGTGCCCATTTGAAGCATGCTTTTGCTTCATGCAAGTACAATATGTCTTGTTCCCGTCTCTAGTAATGGTCACACATAAAGGGACATTGTGATGTCAATTTTAGGCTTAAAATATAAGATTTTATATTTAAAAACAAAAATCCCCTAAGGCCAACAGAAATTTTGTTTTTTTAATTCCTAGAAAAAGTTTTGCATTGATTTTAAACGTTGCGTTTTGGAGCTTGCAGCTTAAACACTGCAGGCTTTGTTTGAGATCTAGAAAGTGAAATTGACTAGGTCAGTTTTCATTGTCCACACTGAATATAAAAATAAATACATTTAGATTTTTAAAAATTCTTTGTTTTAATAGTCTTTTAATGTCAGTAAAATACACATGGAAGCTTTATTTTTGAAAACATGGCCAACTTAAAAATAAATTAAATAAAAAGTCAGGCTCCTATTTATTTTAAGGATCCTAAAACGCATACTTAACTTTACACTCTTACATTTGAAAATTTTCGTCCATGATTTTTATCTGATGGGATCTCTTAAAAATGGTGATAGCCTAATTTTTTTTTTTTTTACACTTGATCATTATTCAGAAAGGTTGATGATCTTTTCTGTTTGTAGCTGAGCGTGTGATAAGATGATTGCAAAAAAAATAGTGGCAAGCATTTGTTTTAATTTGTGAAATAAGTGAACTGCCAAGGTATGCATAACAATGTTGCAGGATCCAGTATGGTTTGATAATGATTAGGCTTTTGAGGGCCTGACGTATTTCAGAAATGTATGTAGGTATTGTATATATTCTGCACTCATCACCATAGCATGAGTGCCTTGTAAATTCTAAAAGAAACACACAGATTCTCAGGTGCTCTCTTTTCTACCTAACAAGACATTATAGAGTAATCTTATGTTGCTTTTTACTTTTTTCTTTGTTCTTTTCTTTGCTAGGTTTCCACTGTTCACTGCCGTATATCAAATCTGCTATGAAGGGAAACCTGTCCAAGAGATGATATCCTGTCTTCAGAGTCATCCAGAGCATATGTAAAATGAATTGTGCAATTATACTAATACAGCTTCCGCCTTTCAAATTCATATTTGGATTCAAGTGGATGTAAACATTAGGCAACCATATGAATGTATATGAATTTCTGTAGTTTTTTTGACACAATTTAAAATTGTAACGTAGTGTCGGATTGGTGGCTGTCATTTTACTGGCTAAAAAGCAGATGTTTTAAGATATACAATGCAAAACTTGCACTATATATATATAAAAATATGTATGCATCTATTTGTGTTTCTATAGTACAAGACATAAACAACACTTAGTAATCTTTCATTCTGAAATTCCTCTCTCATTAAAGACCCAATCCAGTGCACACTAGAAACAATGGAAGGAATCCCATTGGCTTCAATGGGAGTTGGATTGGGCCCTGATAGCCCCAATAGCGTTAGCTATGTCTACAAACACTTGATTTTACTTTGTAATACACACCAAGACTTTTTACATGTTTGCATGCTTTTTGGCGATAGTTACTTTAAGCAATATTAATGAAAAGCTAGTTGTAGCAGTTATTCAAGGAGGGAGTAGGGGAATGGCATTTTAGGTAACTGCATTTAACAATATCCTATGATTTTTAGACAGTCTCAAAATATTAGACTAGTTCAAATCAATTTTAAAGGGTATTTAATCTTTTAAGTGTAACATATTTTAAAAGGGTACATTACCTCCCCCTCCGTTTTTATCCCTTTCTGCTTTCAGTTTTGTATTTCTGCGTTTCTCTCTTTCTCTTGCTGTTCTCGAATTCTATTAGGAAGGACAAGCAGGAGGATTTTACCAGCACAGACTCTAGCATAGGGACCCTGTGGTTCATCCATGTGCTGTGTGATTCCATTTATTTTATTTTAGGCCCATTCTTGTGGTAGCCACTGCCCAAAACTGTCACGCTCTTCTAGCTTAACCTTCAGCTGCATACCACACATAGGGGGAATTCCCAGTACTTCAAGTTTGTGTTGTCTGTTGTCAAATGAATTGTACTCCATGCATTCATTTCAGTGCCTACCAGTGCCTGATGTGTCAACTGGTCTCTATTGACTCGATCCAACTTCTACTGAAGTAAATTAAAAAGTTCCCATTCTTTAATTTGAAAGACTTCTGTGGGGATTGGATCAAGCCCTTTCTGACCAATCTGCCTGAAAGCTTCTCAGAGTCCATGCTGCCTCTCTCTGCTCCCCTTAAGGAAGGAGGGACTGAGAGAGATTATGGAGGAGATTAATTTGAGTGCTTCTGTTGCACAACTGTTGGGGTACTGCTGGAATATCCCTTTTCGGAACATTTTGAGGAGAGATGGGGGGATGGATGGATCTTTCTGGCTCATGATTTTATTTTATTTAAAAGAAAAAAATAAATCTAGCCTTAAGGAACAGGCATATGGCTGGGCACATGAAGGGACAACCCATAGTTGAGACCTGGGGAATAAGGTTTGTCTAGAGACTGATAGAGGTCAGCACGGAGCTAATAAGAGAAGTCTCTTGCTATTTGGAATACATATTCCTAATCCCAGAGCAAGATAGGGATTGATTTCTACTTGCTGTTACCAGCTGTGTTGTTTACAGGCCAAGAGCTTTGAGCATGAAGCCTTTATGAAGCTTTAAGATGTCAAGGTATAGGCCTAGGAGTAGCAGTGCTTAAAGTACATTATATAGCTTTGGATATTTTTTTACTCTGAAATAAGAAAGAGCAGTAAGGCAGCTTCATGTAAACAGAAAAATATTTCGGAACAGGGGCTGGTATTTTGCATATGCCAAACCAACCATTATGTTTTAAATTATTTTTAGAAGATCATGTGAACGTCTACAAATATGCAGGGCTATAAAATATCATTTTATTGGGGATGTTTTGTCTTATTTTTCTGAACATGGTGCTGAATAATGAAAAGGGGCAGGAGTTAGTTTGAAATGTATGGGGCAGTGGGATTTTGAGAATTAAAATCTCTGATAGAACTGGTCTGTGAGAAATTATTTGTGCTTAGACCATTTAAAGGATATTTTAGTAGTTGGAAACATTGATATATTAACGCACATATGAAGCATACACTCCCCGTTACAGCATAACTCGCAATGGGTTTGTTTATGTTAAATTATACTTTTAAAAAAACACCAAATTGGGTGGATTTGCCTTTGTATTTTATTTTTACATATAGTATGTAGAATAATACAATTTTGTAAGAGACATAAAGGGCTATATAAACTAAAAGTGGTGAATTATATGTATTGTAGCATGGGGGTTTTTATTATTTGTTTATTCTCATGCTCTTTCCTCCACATAAGGAGTTGGACATTTTTAGATCTCCTTTTTGATGTAAACCCAGTCAGTGACCGAGCCAGAGGGAGGTTTGTTTATTGAATCATTTTCTCAAATCTACAATCCACTCACTTTCTCCCTCCCCCTCCCCAATAAAATGCAAAACTTCTGTAATTAAGGAATTTATCTTGTTTTCATTTCTGTAGATATTTATTATTCCCCCATTTCTACTTTTGTTGTTGTCGTTGTTGTTGCTTGAGAACTTTTGGCTTGGCATTATTTTTTTCATTAATATTTACTACTAATTATGATACTGTGATATAAATATCAGCACTAAAGGATAAGGGCCCAGTCCTGTGAACACTCTTTCACTTGCTACTGGGTGTAGTCCCATTGAAGAGACTCTGCCCAATAATAAGTTTTTTTTTCAGGATCAGGTCCTAAATTTTTATCTTTCTTGACTAATTTATGAACAAAAATCACTAAGGGAACTGCATTCAGTTTTCTAATAGTACCTAACTAGCTCATTACATATCTACTGTATTGTTTAAGGATTGAAAATGGATACCCCTTTGAAAGCTTAGTACAATAAATATTTTGTCTTGAAATCACTTGTTTTTAATGTTCATTTTTTATCACCAGGCTTTCTTTCTCTTGTTGACACCAAAGATGTAATCAGGATAGATATCTGAGACTGCCATACAAGGGGCTAGAGTAGTTTACTAATTGTCATATAAGCATCAGTGTTTTCATTTCATTCATCAAAAGGTAATAAAATGTTTTTTAAGTACATCAGAAGCTGGAAGCCTGCTAAACAACCAATGGGGCCCCTCGATGACCGAGATACAAAAGGAGCACTTATAGATGATAAAGTCATTGCAGAGAAACTAAACAAATTCTTTGCTTCAGTCTTCACGGCTGAGGATGTTAGGGAGATTCCCAAACCTGAGCCGGCTTTTGTAGGTGACAAATCTGAGGAACTGTCACAGATTGAAGTGTCACTAGAGGAGGTTTTGGAATTAATTGATAAACTTAACATTAACAAGTCACCGGGACCAGATGGCATTCACCCAAGAGTTCTGAAAGAACTCAAATGTGAAATTGCGGAACTATTAACTAGAGTTTGTAACCTGTCCTTTAAATCGGCTTCTGTACCCAATGACTGGAAGATAGCTAATGTAACGCCAATATTTAAAAAGGGCTCTAGAGGTGATCCCAGCAATTACAGACCGGTAAGTCTAATGTCGGTACCGGGCAAATTAGTCGAAACAATAGTAAAGAATAAAATTGTCAGACACATAGAAGAACATAAATTGTTGGGCAAAAGTCAACATGGTTTCTGTAAAGGGAAATCATGTCTTACTAATCTATTAGAGTTCTTTGAAGGGGTCAACAAACATGTGTACAAGGGGGATCCAGTGGACATAGTGTATTTAGATTTCTAGAAAGCCTTTGACAAGGTCCCTCACCAAAGGCTCTTACGTAAATTAAGTTGTCATGGGATAAAAGGGAAGGTCCTTTCATGGATTGAGAACTGGTTAAAAGACAGGGAACAAAGGGTAGGAATTAATGGTAAATTCTCAGAATGGAGAGGGGTAACTAGTGGTGTGTTCCCCAAGGGTCAGTCCTAGGATCAATCCTATTCAACTTCTTCATAAATGATCTGGAGAAAGGGGTAAAAAGTGAGGTGGCAAAGTTTGCAGATGATACTAAACTGCTCAAGATAGTTTAAGACCAAAGCAGACTGTGAAGAACTTCAAAAAGATCTCACAAAACTAAGTGATTGGGCAACAAAATGGCAAATGAAATTGAATGTGGATAAATGTAAAGTAATGCACATTGGAAAAAATAAGCCCAACTATACATACAATATGATGGGGGCTAATTTAGCTACAACAAATCAGGAAAAAGATCTTGGAGTCATCGTGGATAGTTCTCTGAAGATGTCCACGCAGTGTGCAGAGGCAGTCAAAAAAGCAAACAAGATGTTAGGAATCATTAAAAAGGGGATAGGGAATAAGACGGAGAATATATTATTGCCCTTATATAAATCAATGGTACGCCCACTTCTTCAATATATACTGGCACTAGAAAAGGTTCAGAGAAGGGCAACTAAAATGATTAGGGGTTTGGAACGGGTCCCATATGAGGAGAGATTAAAGAGGCTAGGACTTTTCAGCTTGGAAAAGAGGAGACTAAGGGGGGATATGATAGAGGTATATAAAATCATGAGTGATGTGGAGAAAGTAGATAAGGAAAAGTTATTTACTTAGTCCCATAATACAAGAACTAGGGGTCACCAAGTGAAATTCATAGGCAGCAGGTTTAAAACAAATAAAAGGAAGTTCTTCTTCACACAGCGCACAGTCAACTTGTGGAACTCCTTACCTGAGGAGGTTGTGAAGGCTAGGACTATAACAGCGTTTAAAAGAGAACTGGATAAATGCATGGAGGTTAAGTCCATTAATGGCTATTATCCAGGATGGGTAAGGAATGGTGTCTCTAGTCTCTGTTTGTCAGAGGGTGGAGATGGATGGCAGGAGAGAGATCACTTGATCATTACCTGTTAGGTTCACTCCCTCTGGGGCACCTGGCATTGGCCACTGTTGGTAGACAGGATACTGGGCTAGTGGACCTTTGGTCTGACCCAGTACGGCCGTGCTTATGTTCATTTATAAATTGTTTTACTAGCACAGTCTCGAGTCGGGCCAATCAAATAAAACAAGATGTTCTCTGTGGTATGAACTGCAGTATCGTCTTTAGTTCACATAACTACCGTGTCATCCACTAGAGGTCGCTGCTGCACAAAGTTCTACATGGTCTGCTGTAGATTGCATGTTTTCTCTTTAACGTTTCCTTGAAGCTCTTCAGTACCTTGTGCAAATAAATTCTCCGTCTTGTTATTTGAGGTTGAGGAGATGCACAGGTTCACCCCCATCTTGTGCAGCATAGAATGGATGAATCTACTGGAGGGGAAAGGAGAAGCTTGCCAAAATAATTGACATCCCACTAAAACAGCTAAGGTCCCTACATGCAAACACTACTCAGCTGACACCTTCTCACCATAATGTGTTAGGCCCAGGATAGCAGTTGTATTTGTCATCCTGTGACAATCCTTTGCAGGGTGGGGGAAAAAGCTCCTATTAGAATAGATGCTGATCCTGTCCTCATTAACTGTGGCACAATTTACTGTGAACTTTCTTCCCAAGTTGGAGATGGCTCACTTACAGGCAGGGAGGCAATGGCAACATGGTTCCTAATGAAGTTGTACTCATGAGAGGGGAGTGAGCACAGGGCCGTTCCTTGATCTCTGGACAGCTCTGTGATGCGTCGGCCCACACACCTTGAAAATCCCATGTCACTTGATGGGATGAGTCAGGAACTAAACCTTATCAACTCATAGAATTTCCTACTTATTGTTGTCCCCCTTCCCCCCCCCCCCCCCCCCGTGAGTTTTCTGAAGAGGAGAATCCAGCCTCACAGTGACAATTTACACTATGATGCATGGAAACACTGGGATTAACAGGAATGTAGGTTTCTTCAGCAAACAGAATAATATAATAGCTCAGTCTTATAGCACCTGTTATCCATAGATCTCAAAGCACTTGACAAAGGAGGTCGGTATTCTTATCCCCATTTTAGAAATGGGGGAGGAGGAGAAATTGAGGAACAGAGGGGAAGTGACTTACCCACGGTCACCAGGAGGCCAGTGGCAGAGCTGGAAATAGAGCCCTGGTCTCTTGAGTCTTCCTCCTCAGCTCTAGCCACTGGACCCCATTGCTGCAAAGCCCCTGGCCATTTTGTGGTAGACAAGGCTGAGCTAGCTTTGTAATCAACGGCTCAGAATGACGTGGCTACTTTTTTTGTTTTTTGAAAGGGTGCCTGAGACTAATTGGTAAAACCAATCTCCATATGTCCAGAAAGTGTAATCCAAGTACAATGGGCCTTCTAATTACAGGGAGGCTAGGTGCATAGGAAGGCAGAAACCACAGCAGAGAATTAGACTGATAAATATATTTTTCTATAAATGTCATGTTCCTATGGTTGGTGGCTAATGGGATGGTTGTTTCTTGTTTTATCAGCCCTTGTAAATCAGTTCAGGTACCTTTTTTATTTGTCTCAGCGCAAATAAACTGGGTGCTGACTCAAGGACATGAAACATGCCAACCAAATTACAGATCTAAAATTCATGCAGATGCCCAACGTGACAAATGAAACAGCAGCCTCAGTTTTCCTGTTCTGCTGCTAGTTCATAGCATTCCCATCTTTGCATAAATAAATAATTCCCACCTTGGATTTTATTTCGAGTTGGCAGTCATGAACCAAGTCAGTAGACATTGCAGTTTGTCTTTAATGGAAAATAAAAAACATTCTCC